ACCTAGGGCAGTCAGCATGCAAATACAGCTTGCTCAGGAATGCTCTCTCCTCTAGACTGACATTCACCCATCAATGCACTTAGATATTTGCCTAATGTCTCCCAAGAGCCAGCCCACTGCTTATATTAGTAGAGAAAAACAAAACAGAGGGCGCACCGGTCTTGTGCATTACCTTTAAAAATATATTTATTGAATATAAAAAAATATTCTACTCACAATAGTAAATAAATATAAGGCACATCATGAAGGGACTGCTCTGTCCAATTCGCACTGTGTTTCTGTCTTATAATGAGGCTCTGAGGAAGATGCTAGTCCTCGAAACGCATCAGCCTTTTGATGTCCATCATTCTCATTATAAGACAGAAACGCAGTGCGAATTGGACAGAGTGGTCCCTTCATGATGTGCCTTACAGGTGAAACTCAAAAAATTAGAATATCGTGTAAAAGTTCATTTATTTCAGTAATGCAACTTAAAAGGTGAAACTAATATATGAGATAGACTCATTACATGCAAAGCAAGATAGTTCAAGCCGTGATTTGTCATAATTGTGATGATTATGGCTTACAGCTCATGAAAACCCCAAATCCACAATCTCAGAAAATTCAATATTCTAGGCTCAAAGTGTCCACTCTAATCAGCTAATTAAGCCATAACACCTGCAAAGGGTTCCTGAGCCTTTAAATGGTCTCTCAGTCTGGTTCAGTAGGAATCACAATCATGGGAAAGACTGCTGACCTGACAGTTGTGCAGAAAACCGTCATTGACACCCTCCATAAAGAGGGAAAGCCTCAAAAGGTAATTGCAAAAGAAGTTGGATGTTCCCAAAGTGCTGTATCAAAGCACATTAATAGAAAGTTATGTGGAAGGGAAAAGTGTGGAAGAAAAAGGTGCACAAGCAGCAGGGATGACCACAGCCTGGAAAAGATTGTCAGGAAAAGGCCATTCAAAAGTGTTGGGGACTTTCACCAGGAGTGGACTGAGGCTGGAGTCAGTGCATCAAGAGCCACCACACACAGACGGATCCTGGACATGGGCTTCAAATGTCGTATTCCTCTTGAACAACAAACAAAGTCAGAAGCATCTTACCTGGGCTAAAGAAAAACAGACCTGATCTGTTGCTCAGTGGTCCAAAGTCCTCTTTTCTGATGAGAGCAACTTTTGCATCTCATTTGGAAACCAAGGACCCAGACTATGGAGGAAGAATGGAGAGGCACACACTACAAGATGCTTGAAGTCCAGTGTGAAGTTTCCAAAGTCTGTGGTGATTTGGGGAGCCATGTCATCTGCTGGTGTTGGTCCACTGTGCTTCATTAAGTCCAGGGTCAACGCAGCCGTCTACCAGGAGATTTTGGAGCACTTCATGCTTCCTTCCGCAGATGAGCTTTATGGGGATGCTGACTTCATTTTCCAGCAGGACTTGGCACCTGCCCACACTGCCAAAAGCACCAAAAACCTGGTTCAATGACCGTGGGATTACTGTGCTTGATTGGCCAGCAAACTCGCCTGACCTGAACCCCATAGAGAATCTATGGGGCATTGCCAAGAGAAAGATGAGAGACATGAGACCGAACACAATGCTGAAGAGCTGAAGGCCGCTATTGAAGCATCCTGGTCTTCCATAACACCTCAGCAGTGCCACAGGCTAATAGCTTCCATGCCACACCGCATTGAGGCAGTAATTGCTGCAAAAGGGGCCCAAACCAAGTACTGAGTACATATGCATGCTTATACTTTTCAGAGGTCCGATATTGTTCTATGTACAATCCTTGTTTTATTGATTGCATGTAATATTCTAATTTTCTGAGATTGTGGATTTGGGGTTTTCATGAGCTGTAAACCATAATCATCACAATTATGACAAATCACGGCTTAAACTACCTTGCTTTGCATGTAATGAGTCTATCTCATATATTAGTTTCACCTTTTAAGTTGCATTACTGAAATAAATGAACTTTTGCATGATATTCTAATTTTTTGAATTTCACCTGTATATTTATTTACTATTGTGAGTAGAATGCTTTTTTATATTCAATAAATATACTTTTAAAGGTAATGCACAAGGCCAGAGATCCCTCTGTTTTGTTTCTCTCTATTAGTACTTTTTGACTCCCCGGTTATTTGAGGGTGGCAAGGCGTGCATATTTCAAGATTTTCGTTGTGTGGTCCTTATGACATAGAGCCCATCCCTAAGCGCAGGAGTATCTGGGTTTTTCCACTTCCACAATACTGCTTATATCAGGGCTGAGGGCTCTTGAGAAGAGTACTGAGGTTGGCTGTTGTGATATTCTCCAGAATCTATGTACAGCACTTTGACTGCCCCCACCACCATGCCTGCATTGCATAGAAAAGCACAAGGGCCCAGTGAATGTCACAATGTCTAAATTAAGGTATGTAATTTATAAAAAAATAAATAAATAATAATAATTAGCATGTTGATGAGGGGGAATGATAGAATCGTGGAAGGCAAAATGTATAGTAAGTAGATTAAACCTCAGCTTTAAACTGGTTATAAACTTCAGGCCTAAACAAATGAACAAAGCATATTCTTCTATAGTGTGTAATTGTGTCAATCCAAAGCACTGGGCATGATTTCTGTTTGCTATCTTGTTCCTCCACTATCTGCAGGAGTCTTTTCTGACAGCCTGTACCGACTCCAAGTGAGGAGCAGGAAAGGGGTGCTCTAGCACACAGCCTGTGATTGCCTTAGCTGTGCATGTTTTCCTATGAGATTGTGTAGAGGAGGATGTGTCCCTTCCCTCTACTAAGGTCTCTGATTACATTCAGCTCTCCTCTCTATGTTGTGCAGTGTTTGACATCACATCCCTGTCTCCTGCCTATGGAAGCTCAGAAAAGCTGTGTAAATTCTGGATGTAGAGAAGAAAATGCTACAGATAAACAGGTGCAACTTATGTAGGAGCATTTGTTCATCTCTGTATATCAGCTGAGGACAGTCACTTCACTGGGTTTATGTGAGGGTTTTATAACCACTTTAACTGCTAGGCCCGCCTATTTTCTTTAACATTATACTGTATACCTGTCTATGTGTTCCCTTCCCTCATGCATTTAGGTGTAAAACGTTCACAATATCTGTAAACATCATTTCACATCTACAGTATCTCACAGAAGTGAGTACACCACTCACATTTTTGTAAATATTTTATTCTATCTTTTCATGTGACAACACTGAAGAAATGACACTTTGCTACAATGTAAAGTAGTGAGTGTACAGCCTGTATAACAGTGTAAATTTGCTGTCCCCCTCAAAATAACTCAACACACAGCCATTAATGTCTAAACCGCTGGCAACAAAAGTGAGTACACCCCTAAATGAAAATGTCCAAATTGGCCCAATTAGCCATTTTCCATCCTCTGTGTCATGTGACTCGTTAGTGTTACAAGGTGTCAGGGGTGAATGGGGAGCAGGTGTGTTAAATTTGGTGTTATCGTTCTCACTCTCTCATACTGTTCAATGGAAGTTCAACATGGCACCCCATGGCAAAGAACTCTCTGAGGATCTGAAAAAAAAGAATTGTTGCTCTATATAAAGATGGCCTAGGATATAGGACGATTTCCAAAACCCTGAAACTGAGCTGCAGCACGGTGGCCAAGACCATACAGTGGTTTAACAGGACAGGTTCCCCTCAAAACAGGCCTCGCCATGGTTGACCAAAGAAGTTGAGTGCACGTGCTCAGCATCATATCCAGAGGTTGTCTTTGGGAAATAGATGTATGAGTGCTGCCAGCATTGCTGCAGAGGTTGAAGGGGGGGGGGTTAGCCTGTCAGTGCTCAGACCAGACGCACACACTATCCCAGAATGAAGCTTCTTCTAAAGATGATGCACAAGAAAGCCTGTAAACAGTTTGCTGAAGACAAGCAGACTAAGGACATGGATTACTGGAACCATGTCCTGTGGACTGATGAGACCAAGATAAACTTATTTGGTTCAGATGGAGTCAAGCGCGTGTGGGCGGCAACCAGGTGAGGAGTACAAAGACAAGTGTGTCTTGCCTACAGTCAAGCAAGGTGGTGGGAGTGTCAGGGTCTCTGGGGCTGCATGAGCGCTGCCAGCACTGGGGAGCTACGGTTCATTGAGGGAACCATGAATGCCAACATGTACTGTGACATATTGAAGCAGAGCATGATCCCCTCCCTTCGGAGGCTGAGCCGCAAGGCAATATTCCAAAATGATAACGACCCCAAACACACCTCCAAGACGACCACTGCCTTGCTAAAGAAGCTGAGGGTAAAGGTGATGGATTGGCCAAGCATTTCTCCAGACCTAAACCCTATTGAGCATCTGTGCGGCATCCTCAAACAGAAGGTGGAGGAGTGCAAGGTCTCTAACGTCCACCAGCTGTGATGTTGTCATGGAGGAGTGGAAGAGGACTCCAGTGGCAACCTGTGAAACTCTGGTGAACTCCATGCCCAAGAGGGTTAAGGCAGTGCTGGAAATAATGGTGGCCGCATAAAATATTGACAGTGTGGGCCCAATTTAGACATTTTCATTTAGGGGTGTACTCACTTTTGTTGCCAGCGGTTTAGACATTAATGGCTGTGTGTTGCGTTATTTTGAGGGGACAGTAAATTTACACTGTTATACAAGCTGTACACTCATTACTTTATATTGTAGCAAAGTGTCATTTCTTCAGTGTTATCACATGAAAAGATATAATAAAATATTTACAAAAATGTGAGGGGGTGTACTCACTTCTGTGAGATACTGTATGCCAAGTGATATAATGTCCTATTGGCTTTCATGCAACTTTTGAATGCAAACCACTTAGTGTATGCCTGAATGGCTCAGATTTCCCTGGTAAAACTTGCAATAGGTAACAGCAATCTTAGCCCATCGTAATGAAGTTAAAAATATTTAGTTAATATCCTAATCCAGTATATTGCTGTTGAATTTGTTGAAAGCTACATATTTTCTATTCCTTGTTCATTCATAATTTGCAAAAATGTAAAAATTAATACTGTAGGCATGTAAAGGTGCATAGGTTATGTGAACTCACCTATTAGGAATATAATGGCTATAAGGAGCTGGAAAATGCTGTATATCAGAGGGAAAGTAAATATCAGAGGCAGCTGCTCAGGTCGGAATGAGAGTTGTACAATGGTAGAACATAACTGAGTGTTTTGCAGTCCAGTTTCCAATGACACAGTGCGACACCTTTAATATACAAAATTGAACCCATTTTTAGAGCACATTCAGTAATTAGATCATGAATAGCTCATTGTACTGTATATAATGAGAAAACATATTTTTGCAGTAAAATACCTATTTGAAACAAAAGCCAGATGAGCCAAACTAAAGCCAAAAGGACCAGATGAATTTCGATCTGGGTATGGGCAGCCTGTTGAAATTTTTTCTCTTGATCAGAGCTCCTGGCTATTGCCAGCAGTGCTGATTAGTGTATTCTGAGGATGGGGAAGTCTTTCTGCTGTCAGAATACAATAGCTCAGCAGGAGGGATTCCCTTATTCACATCAAACGTGTGGATAGGGAAATTAAGTATTTTTCTTTTGTCCAACCTACTGGTTGAACAAGAAAAAAAGTGAATGGTCAGCCCGAAAGAAACTTTCCTGGTGTCTGTTGTGATAATTACGTTGGTGCTAAAACATGGTAATGATGTGGTGGGTATAAACTGGAAGTCCCACTTTATCATCCAACCATCTGTTTTACCCACAGAAGCCCCAATATATACAGCAATGTTGTAAGAAAAGATTTAAGGAGGAACTGAACTATGTCCAAAAAAGGCAGCCAGAGGACAAAGAAATAGTCACCAGTGTTGACTGTGACCTCCCTACAGCTGATATTCCCTTGTTAATTATATACCTTTTTCTGTACTGTGTCTCCAAATGGAGGAAGCCAATACAAGTAAAGGGATGGACACTGCTCAACTGACCCCAGGAGTCCAATGTTAGCGTCCACCCCTTTACTTGTATTGGCTGACACTGGAATCGCTTGGACTCATATTCCCCTCTTCTCACTTGCTGGTGGGGTGATCTTTTACCTTCCATCCGCAGCTTGGAGCAGCGCCATATGGTATACTTTCCAAATGGAGGAAGCCATGCTGGGAAAGACAATACTTTGCTTCTTCAAGTCAGAGCCTCCAGCAAGACTGGCAGTGAGCAGCACAGTAGTGACATCAAATCTAACTCTCACCCCCAATCTCATGATAATAGTCATCAGAGGCAGCAGTGCCTTATATTTCACACTGCAGATATATGGCTCTAAGCACAGGAGTGCCTAGGTACCCTCGTATCCTTGGAAGTCTACTGATATTTTTCAAAAGCACTTTTAACAGTTCTAAAGGCTCTACTTACATCAGAGTGTTTTGTATCAAGGGCAGAATCACTGTGATTCTGCCTATGATCCCAAAACACTGTGCAAAAATGACAACTCGCACCAGTTTTGTTGTGATTGTTGCACGATTAATTGTGCTGCAATCATGCAAACCGCATTGCGCAAAATTTGTCACCCAAAAAGGAGCAGGAGCTTCTTTTGGGGTAACAAGCTTCATGCGATAGGGTTTGCCATTAATACAGTGAGATTTATTGTGCGACAATTGCGGCAGAACCGCACTGCGTTTTAGGTGTCATTGAAAATGAATGGCACCTGAACACGGCTGATGCGAGTTGTCATTTTTGCAGTGTTGTGGAAACACAGAATAATCCATTCTTTGGCTCTTAGTAGCAGTCACTTATCTGAGACATGTTTAACCACTTGACCCCTTTTGCCCTCTTCATGACCTGGGCAGTTTTTGCTATTCAGCAGAATTGCTCGGTCATGCAACACTGTGCCAAAATTAAATTTATATAATTTCTTTCACACAAACAGAGCTTTCCTTTGGTGGTATTTGATCGCCACTGGGTTTTTTATTTTTTATTATAGTAATGAAAAAATCAAAAATTAAAAAAAAAAACAATTTGCGTGTAATGTGTGCTGCTTTTCTTCATAGGTCTGGCTGTTTTTTCTTCCTGCTTTTCAGGGAGAAGAAACAGCTAAATTGCTGTTCTGCTTACACCAAAATATGTGTGCTTGTATACAATGAACTCTGTGTTGTGGTTGGACACAGCCGATTAGCAGGCTTCAGCCAAAATCATTGACTGAAACCTGCTGTGAGCAGACAGCAAGCATGTAAATTCCTTGATGTAAACAAATTTGTGTAGTTATTTTTTTTTTTTGTGCTAATGAACAATATGCTGCTGAGTCAGTTCTTCATCTCAAAAGTCTATATGTGATTTAAACCACTAAATACATATGCAAATTACACATACCTGCTCCATGACAAATTAGCTAAAATGGCTAAGATAAAACCCACAATGAAACCTATGACTGGGAATATAGTTCCTATAATCCATAGCTTGGGTTCGATGACCCAAGATCCCTTGTACAGTACTCCACCAATTACAGCAACAGTAACAATGAGAATAGCTCCAACAATAGATCCCACCTGAAAACAAAAAGAAAGTACAAGTTTAGATGTGCAAATGTGTATATATATATATATTAGTACATTCGTTTCTATACATTTTACCAATCTGGAGAAGAGTGAACCTGAAGTTTGTTTTTATGTTTTGACGCAACCCCCCCCCCCCCCCAAGAAGATACACTATATTGCCAAAAGTATTGTGACACTCCTCCAAATCATTGGATTCAGGGGTTCTAATCACCTCCATGGCCACAGGTGTATAAAATCAAGCACCTAGGCATGCAGACTGCTTCTACAAACATTTGTAAAAAATGGGTCGCTCTCAAGAGCTCAGTGAATTCAAGCGTGGTACCGTGATAGGTTGCCACCTGTGCAATAAGTCCATCCATGAAATTTCCTTGCTACTAAATATTCCACGGTCAACTGTTAGCGGTATTATAATAAAGTGGAAACAACTTGGAACAACAACAACTCAGCCACGAAGTGGTAGGCCATGTAAAATGACAGAGCGGGGTCAGTGCATGTTGAAGTGCACAGTTCACAGAAGTTGCTAACTGTCTACAGAGTCAATAGCTAAAGACCTCCAAACTTTGCGTGGCCTTCAGATTAGCACAACAACAGTGCGTAGTGAACTTCATGGAATGAATTTCCATGGCTGAGCAGCTGCATACAAGCCTTACATCACCAAGTGCAATGCAAAGCAGTGGATGCAGTGGTGTAAAGCTCGCCACCACTGGACTCTAGAGCAGTGGAGACATGTTCTCTGGAGTGACGAATCACATTTCTCTGTCTTGCAATCCGATGGATGTGTCTAGGTTTGGCGGTTGCCAGGAGAACTGTACTTGCCTGACTGCATTGTGCCAAGTGTAAAGTTCTGTGGAGGGGGGATTATGGTGTGGGGTTGTATTTCAGGGGTCAGGCTTGGCCCCTCAGTTCCAGTGGAGGGAACTCTTAAGGCATCAGCATACCAAAAAATTTTGGACAACTTCATGCTCCCATCTTTGTGGGAACAGTTTGGGGATGGCTCCTTCCTGTTCCAATCAGTGCACAAAGCAAGGTCTATAAAGACATGGATGAGCGAGTTTGGTGTGGAGGAACTTGACTGACCTGCACAGAGTCCTGACCTCAACCCTGTAAAACATCTTTGGGATGAATTAGAGTGGAGACTGCGAGCCAGGCCTTCTTGTTCGACATCATTCCCTGACCTCACAAATGCGCTTCTGGAAGAATGGTCAAACCTTCCCATAGACACACTCCTAAACCTTGTGGACAGCCTTCCCAGAAGAGTTGAAGCTGTTATAGCAGCAAAAGATGGGCCAACTCAATATTGAACCCCAAAGACTAAGACTGGGATGCCATTAAAGTTGATGTGCATGTAAAGGCATTCGTCCCAATACTTTTGGCAATATAGTGTAAGTTAAAATTGAGTAGCCCATCAAAAGATAAAATAAAACTAGCTTTTGCTGCAAAATTCTCTCTCAGTTCACAGCGTTTTCTCACCACTAGCACTGCCACTAGATGTCCTCAATCTGATGGCAAGCATCATTTGACTCACCTCCCCTGAGCTCAGTTCATCCTGTACCTACCCCTAGCCTGTGATTGGTCAGTGAAATGAGAAGCAACCGTGTTGAACTCATCTCTCCGTTGTTCTGCTTTCTCCTCCTACCAGCATTCTTCTTATCAACACATGAACTGATTGACTCTTTGTGCTTCTTCTTCCTCTCACACTCCAGCCCCCTGCTGTACAGGGACTGTAAATGGCTTATACCAGGTCATATTCAGGCACTTACATGCAGTTAATAAATAATCTAATGATGTATTGATGATTACAGGGCTGCACTGACTGGTGTCTTGTACCTGCCAATAATTCAGTTAAATAACTCAAAAGGATGTGGGAGCTGGGGGTACGGGAGGGGTTTGAGGTTTATTATTTAAAATCTTTTAAATAATAAATGGCTGATTTTATCAGTACTTCAATTCTTATTTATATTAAAGACTCACTGTGCTTGAAACACATCATAATCATGGGGATTTTAACAATAATAACATATTTACGTCACAGCATCCCAACTTATTGGGCAGCAAAACATGAGACTGAATAAGATTGAGGCATTAAAAGTAGAACTAAAGACAACACTTTTTTTTCATTTTGGATAGAGTAAGGGAAAATTATAACCCCACCAGATTTTTTTTTTTGCCATCTGTGTCTCACTGGGGAGATTTCCCTTCACTTCTTGTTCTATACCCAAAACAGGAAGTGAGAGGAAATCCCTCCAAAGTGAGGGGAATCCCTTCTGGTCACCAGGGTCACCAGAACTAGTGTCTCCATTGGAAGTTTCCCCCTCTGTTTCTGTTCTGGGAAAAACCCAAAATTTGAGTTTTTTTTCTTTTACATTTATTTTTGGTTATAATAGTAAACAGGACAAATAAAGAGGATGAATTTCCTTAGCGGGGGCACAGACAACAGTAAAAGCCTGACAGGTGTTCTAATCCTTCACCACTCTATCCAAAACTAAAAAAAGTTTTGCCTTTAATTGAATTTTATTGTACTGGGATTCTTCTTCGGTTTTATAAATATAAGAGATACTAAAAGCTAAACAATTATTTCCTAACATGTATTATGTATTGGACATGTATTATGACTTGAATAATTGTGTATTTCTTTAAGATCTGTTCAGTAATGCAGTGTAAAATGTGGCCTTTGTGCAGGAGCTTCCTGTAAAAGAGACCACTCACTGTTGCCCTCTCTCCATCTGCAAGTCAGCTGGTTTTGTATCCGCCCCCTCCTGTAGTTTTCTGCAGGCAGCCTATAGTGGGCCCCTCCCACAGCTCTACACAAAGTGATAATGTCATTGCTCCTTTAACCTCTTCCATACAGGGCACTTTTTCCCCCTTCCTGCCCAGGCCAATTTTCAGGTTTCAGCGCTCTCACACTTTGAATAACAATTGCGCGGTCATGCAACATTGTACCCAAACTAAAATTTGGTGGTACTTAATCACTGCTGGGGTTTTTATTTTTTGCTAAATTAACAAAAAAAGACCGAAAATTGTCTTTGTTTCTGTTATAAAAGTTTGCAAATAAATAATTGTTCTCCATACATTTAGGCCGAGATGTATTCTGCTACATGTCTTTTTGGTGAAAATAACCCAAATTAGGATGCATTATTTAGTTTTTAGGAAAGTTATAGAGTTCACAAACTATGGGATATATCTGAAAATTGATCAATCCTGAAGTACTGACGGCCAATCTAATTTCTTGAGGTCCAAGAATGTCAGAACAGTACAGATATCCTCCAAATGACCCCTTTTTGGAGAGTAGACAGTCCGACGTACTTCATAAGATGCATGGTGAGTTTTTTGAAGTTATATTTTTTTTGTCATAATTTTTCGGAAAGTAAAAAAATTAAAAAAATTATTTTCACTATTTCTTTTTACATATTGTCACCAGTGCAGTACAGCGTCATCATATAACTGGCATGGCGGTGATCAGGGACACTGACTGGTGACAGTATGCAAAAAAAAAAATTATACATTTTTTAAAATTTTTTTTTTCATATTTCACTATGACCAAAGTAGTATAATGTTACCATAGTAACATTGTACTACTTTGGGGAAGTGATCAGTATATTCTTTTTTTTTTTTTTACACAATTTGCTTATAGCAAAGAATTACTTTGCTATAAGCAAGCATGTACCTAAATGACATCGATTTATTCAGGGTTTTTTTTTTTTGTGCTTAGCTGTGATTTGGCCACGGCTAATCACATGACACAGCTGGGCTGTGATTGGCCCAGCTTGTGCATGTGATCGCTGTGACCATTCACAGCTAGACACTAGTATACAATGGATGGCATGAATGAAGCCATACTGTTGCCATATGGCGTCCACCCGGAAAGGTGAGTGTTTTTGCCGGCTGCCATTCGGCCATAGGCCAGGCGGGTAGAGGTTAAGAAGGTGCTGTCTGGGTTTGCATAGGCATTTGGTACACGTATTGTAGGTTTATACCCTCTGTGGCTAAGGAATAGCAGTTCAGTTTTGGGCACCAATTCACAAAAAGAACATTGGGTAACTGGAGAAAGTACAGAAAAGGGCAAGCAAACTGATAAGAGGCATGGAGGAGCTCAGCTATGAGGAAAGCTTAGAGGAACCAAATGTATTCTCTCTTGAGAAGAGGAGATTAAGGGGGGGATATGATCAACATGTATAAGTACATCAGTGGTTCATATAATGAACTCAGTGTAGAGGTATTCACCCTGAGGTCATCACAGAGGACAAGGGGGCATACATTAAATCTAGAGGAAAATAAATTTAATCACCAAACATGGAAAGGTTTCTTCACAGTGAGAGCTGTGAAAATGTGGAATAGACTCCCTCAAGAGTTGGTTCTGGCCACCTCAGTGGATTGCTTCAAAAAAGGCCTGGATTGTTTCTTAGATACACAGAATATAACTGGATACTAACATGTACAGGTAAAGTTGATCTAGGGAATATCCGATTGCCTCTTGGGGGATCAGGAAGGAATTGTTTTCCCAGCAGGAGCAAATTGGATCATGCTTTGCTGTTTTTTTGCCTTCTTCTGGATCAACTGTTGGGTGTAGGAGTATAACTTTTTTTTTATGGTTGAACTGGATGGACTTTAGTCTTTTTTCAGCCAGACTAACTCTGAATATGTTTAACTGAATTTGTTCCTATTTTTGTGAGGTCAGCTATAATAATCGCTGGTTTTATAAAACTGTAAACAAAGTTTAAAAACAATGTTGCAGCCCAAAGCTGATTTTTAATGTTGTGGGTTTAAAATATTCAGAATTAAATCTAAACTTGTATTCTTTATTTGTAGAAAACATTGTTTATTATTATATTACATTTACTGTTTATTACAAAAGAACAAGGCAAAATCCATATATGCCATTTTCTGCCTACACTTTAAGCTGTCTTTCATATGACAATGTGAAAAGTCATATGAAGGAATTCAGTAAAGCACTACTGGCAGTTTTCTGGTGCTATGGCCCTTTAAAATGGCCTGCGCCAGATTAAAAAATTCCTACCATCCGTTTTGGTAACTTAGTCGACATGTGCGGCAGATTCATGTAGTTCTTAATAGAGCCAGTTTACAAACTGGCTCTATTAATGCACCAAATTTAAAAAAAACCTGCAGTTCGTAGATAGCAAAACTGGAGGTAATTAAGACCAACTGTAACTTGGAGTACAGAGACAGGCAGAGTGCCTGTCCCAGCGCACAGTTTAGCAGAATTGCATATTTGCGGCCACTGCCCTCTTCCTATCACTGGTTGCTAAGGATGCTGTCTGCTTCACAGCCTCCTAGCAACCTGTGATGCTGCAGTGGGTGGATCCTGATGGGGAAACAAAGACACTATGTCCCTATCATGTCTGCTCTTGCCTTGTAGTTGACAGGAGGCAGTGGATATATTCTATAGCCAATAGAGTGGTGTCAATAACAAGGGGAACTGATTTGATGGCAAACTAATGTTTGTGAATCCCCATCAAACTTCATCCCCCCAGGTCAAAACTTCTCTACAACAGGTACTGTACATGAATTTGTCTCCTGCTCATTTATCAAGTGGAGTCACATCAAAATTCTGGTGTCTTAGACACTTTTTATGAATCCCCCTGACTGTTTTTGGGAACACAGAAATTACTAGTGATTTTTTTTAAATTGGTTACTAAAACACATTTGCTTTTATCCTATTCTATTTTAAAATGCAGGGCTCTTTCTAAATCAGTGCTATAGACTTTTATATGCATCATTGCTAATTTTACTTTCCAGTCTTTCTTACATGCCTTTAGAATTTTCTTTGCTGCTTCTGGCCACTTATAGTTAACGAACATTCCAATAGCAACAGGAACAACCAATGTCACGAGTGAGATGCCTGGAATTAAAATGGGTAAGGTTTTAATGAGCACAACCTATATAGTACTTAAAAATATCCATCCATCTGTCTATCTGGCATTAAAAAAAGATTTTCCATTTATAAATCTTACCACGGACATGGATTTGAGAGTGTATTTAGGCCTCATTCACACTTGCATACTTAAAGCAGAACTAAACCCTCCTATCCTTTTCAGTTGTAACATCATTTATTTGATGGTTTGACAGCTTGGTTAAGAGAATAAGCAAATGTGACCGTTAGCATTCCCAGCATGCAACTGTTATTTTTTAAACTATTAAATCAATGGGTTTAGTTCCTCTTTAATGATATATTATTTTACAGGCTTTATATTGCGCCAACAGTTTTGCACAGCACTTTACAACATGAGAGCAGACAGTACAGCCACAATACAATTCAAGACAGGAGGAATCCTCTTTTATGGATTTCCAGGTTATATGGCATATACAGTAATGGCAATGGAAACAGGGTGATAAACCACATCAGGCAATAAAAAGGATCAGAAGGGAAGAGGGAACCTTCATAGCATAGTATTAACTTTATTTCCAATCAAATACAAAATTGCAATTACATAAATGTATTAAAATTGGCTTCAAACAAAAGTCAGTTGAATGGAAACCACAGCCCGGGAACGGGGTTGTGCTACTTTAACTGGCAATTGCATGGTCATGCAACACTGTACGCTCTGTGGTGGTATTTGATCACCATTGGATTTTTACATTTTTTATTATATATACAAAAAAAGACCAAAAATGAAAAAAAAAAAGATATTTTCTAATTTCTGTTATAAAACATATCCAAAAAAAAAAAATATCAAATTTTTTCATAAATTGATGCCAAAATGTATTTTGCTATATGTCTTTGGTAAAAAACAAAATCTCAGTAAGTGTATCTTAATTGGTTTGCGCAATAGTTATAGAGTCTATAAACTATGATATACAGTATACCAGTATACTGAAATTTACGCAGCTATCGATGCTATACTGGTAATGGTGGTGATCAGTGACTTATAATGGGACTATGATAGGGAGATGGACAATCTGGCACTAACATACACTATCTGGGAGAGTCACTAACTGACACTGGTATCGCTAGTGACACTAATACAGCCATAATACTGTATACTGACACTGTACTAATGACACTGGCTGGGAAGGGGTTAAGACCTAGGGGCAATCAAGGGGTTAAATGTGTGCCACAATGTGTAATGTGTGCTGCTTTTACTTTACTATCTGGCTGTTTCTCCCCCCTGCTTTGCAGGGAGAAGAAACAGACAGATTGCTATTCCCTGTACAAGGAGTTATTATAAACACAGAACTCTGTGTGTGATTGGACATAGCTTATCAGCTGACCTCAGCCCAAATCATTGACTGAACTCAGCTGCCAAACTCATGCTGTGTCCAAACACAGCACAGTTCTGGAGGGGGCAGGGGGCACGTGCATGAATGCCACCAAATCCGGACAAAGCTGCCAATGTAGAGGTACATGATCATGCCTGCACCTGCAGCCCTCTCGCAGTATATTTACTGTGAATGGTCGGCAGGTGGTTCACCCCTTTGCGAGTGAGGGTAAAAACAGATCTTAATGCCTGAACACAATTTTGCAACTTTGACATGTGTTAGTAAAACTGTACTTATGATTGCAACTACTTTGTGTATCGAGGTAGATTGTACCTTATTTTTTTCCACTACAAATTGGGCTTTCTTATGGTGGTAAATGGTAACGGATATCTCCTAAGCTCTTTTTATTATCAAAGGAAACTGGACCAAGAATAAAAAAAAAAAAAATTTTTTTAATGTAGCTGTATATTTCCTGCTATTACCAAAACTTACCAAAGAACAACCCAAAATATATTGTCCTGCTCCTGACGATCACACAATGCCACATATGTGTATGTTATTTGTTGTTAGCACCCATAGTAGGGCTCAGAAATAGTGCACATAGAAATATTTGCTTTTTTAAAATCCTAAAACACACTGACACTGACTGACACCGATACTAATTTAAAAAGTGCTTTTAAGAAAAAAAAAAATCCTACCCAAAATATACTGACCCTGACTTTTGAACCTTACCTTGACCTTTGACCCTAATACTAACTTTATTATTATTATTATACAAGAGTTATATAGCTCCGACAGTTTGCTCAGCGCTTTACAATATAACATATACAGTTCAATACAAGAGGGATAGGAGGGCCCTGTTCCTTGGAGCTTACAATCTAAGAGGGAGGGGCTAGTAGCACAAAAGGTAATAACTGTGGGGGATGGACTGGTAGGAGGAATAGAAGATTTCATTATTAGCTGAAGGCAGGATAGGTTTCCCTGAAGAGATAGGTTTTCAGAGATCGCCTAAAAGTGAGCAGAGTAGGCCATAGTCTGATAAATTGGGGTAGAGCATTCCAGAGGATGGGGGAAGCTCTGGAGAAGTCCTGGAGATGAGCATGGGAGGAGGAGACAAGGGAGCTAGAGAGCAGGAGGTCGTGCGAGGAGCAGAAAGTATGGTTTGGGTGATATTTAGAGACAAGATTGGTGATGTAATTTATAAATGGCTTTATATGTTATTGTTAATGTTTTGAATTTTATCCGTTGGGCAATGGGAAGCCAGCGGAGGGATTGGCAGAGAGGGGTGGCAGATACAAAATGGTTAGTAAGGTGGATGGGTCTGGCAGCAGCATTCATGATAGACTGAAGAGGGGATAGCCTGCGAAGAGGTAGGCCAATGAGGAGGGAGTTACAATAGTCAAGGCGAGAGATAACAAGGGAGTGAATAAGTTGCTTAGTAGTTTCAGAGGTTAAGAATGGGCGTATCTTGGAGATGTTGCAGAGGTGAAGTCTACAAAATTTGGACAGTGATTGGATTTGAGGCTAAAAGGAAAAATGAGAGTCTAGGATTACACCTAGTACCCTGGCATGAGGGGAGGGACTGATGGTTGTATTATTGATCTTGATGGAGAAATCAGGGGAGGGGGCACGGGCTGGAGGAAATAATATGAGCTCAGTTTTGGAAAGATTGAGTTTGAGGAAGTGGAGTGACATCCATGCCGATATGTCACTTAGTAGGTTAGTAATGCGAGAGGAGACTAAAGGGATGAGGTGAGGAGTAGAAAGATAGATTTGTGTGTCATTAGCATAGAGATGGTACTTAAAGCCATGAGAGTTTATCAAGTGATCAAGGGAGGAAGTGTAGATGGAGAAGAGAAGGGGTCCAAGGATAGCACCTTGAGGGACCCCTACAGAAAGAGGGAGTAGAAAGGAGGAGACAGAGCTATAGGTAATGCTGAAGGAGCACTGCAATAGGTAGGAGGAGAACCAGGAGAGAGCAGAGTCTTGGTGACCAAGAGAGTGGAGTTTTTTGAGGAGGAGGGGATGGTCAACAGTATCAAAAGCCACAGAGAGGTCAAGTAGTAAGAGTAAATCTGATAGAGTCCTAGATGAAGCCTTGATCTAGCTATTTCTTTCTTTCTTTTTTAGATTTCTATTATTATATCTTTAACACTCGTTTGTTTACATTTTTCTTTATAGAGGGATTGATTCAGTAAAACAGGAGAGTGCAAAAACTGGTGCAGCTCTGCATAGAAAATTATTAGCTTTCAGTTTTATTTTTTTTGTCAAAGCTGGATAAGCTGAAGTTATGCAGGCCATACTGTACATGGGTTGAATTCTGAATACATTTTCTTCAGAAAATTGGAAACTTTGTGTGTTTTGTAAGCCAATGGTGCCACCATTGCTTTCGAAATTCGACCAACCAAGCCTTCAATTTCATCTCATGTTGCTAAAGAAAAATAATTTTGTGGCTGAGAATCTTCTTTTCTTTCCAGGTCACAGCTCATGCTTATTTCTTTTTTGATTAGATTTCTCACACGATTCTCCCATCATTGTTTAAAAATTGTTCTTTTTTCAAATAATTTCCAACATACCCGATGAGTCAAATTCAAAGGGCGCACAAAAATCAGCTGATGCTGTGGCCCACTAATGGTACGAAGTTCGAGCAAAAATTCTTAGTTAGAATTTTCAAAAGAAAATTTGTTTGGAATTCGACCCGTGTGTGGCCTGCATTAGAAACTGATTGGCTACCATGCCCAGCTGCACCGGATTTTGCACTCTCTAGTTATAGTAAATCAACCCCAATGTATCTTTCTGTCCATTCAGAGGACTAAGGATAAAAAAGACACATGGGCCAACTGCAGTGGTACGCATATAACAAGGCTCATTGTAATTGAAAGGTGCAGGATTTGTTATGCATTATCATAGCCAGGGGTGGACTGACAACTCATGGGTCCCCCGGGCAATAGGGGATCATGGGGCCCCTGTGTCCTTGGCCAAACTCAAAAAAGCCTATGAAAAATGTACCAGGGGCATCTCATGGGGCCCCCTACTGACCTTGGGCCCTCGGGCAGTGCCTGAGTTTCCAAATGGTCAGTCCGCCCCTGATCATAGCTAACCCTTCTTGCAAGGAGTTTCCTGCACACAAGGAGTTTTTCTGCCACAAGATGAAGCTTTGTGGACTCTGATTCATCATCAGTCAAGAGCATTGCATTTTGGGAGTTGTGGTCCCAGCCAGAAGGAACTCCATTACTAACAATACCCAAGAAACCCAAGAGAATTGCATTTTGGGAGTTGTGGTCCCAGCCAGAAGGAACTCCATTACTAACAATACCCAAGAAACTACAACATCCAAAGTGCTTTGGGTCAAGGTGGGGGGGGGGGTCATATAAATTAAAAAGCCTGGAAAGAACACAGGACAGTCTTGGAAAGAGACTGGTGAAGGTAAGTTCCTGTCAGAGGGAGAGATAGAGAGGACGATACAGTAAAGGATTGTGCATTACATGAGAGATGGTGTCTGTCAGTTCCGGAGAGAACTGAGAAAGCTGCTGCAGTCTGTCAAGTCCAGTCTCTGTCCATGCTGCTGTCTACTGGAGCTGGGGATCATCCTAAGGCCTAGTACCCGGAGCCTCCAGAGATCCAGACCTGCTGATATCGCTG